CGCACCCCGGCTCAAGTCACAGTGGCTGCCTCGCAGAGCGGCGGAGCAGCGTTCCGCGCTGCCCACCCCTGGATCGTCACACAGGCTCCGCTGCCAGTGAAATCTGACAGCTGCACAGAAATGCGCGAGCACGCGCGCCACACCCTGTTTTCCTTGCTCCGGTTCCAGCCAACAGCGGCTTCGGTACATACGTGTCGCACTCTGCAAAAGCTCTAAACACAGCTGCACAAGGACCTGGAATGCTCGCTTTCAGTATTATCAGTATCATAATGTGGGGGGAGTTTGGGAGTACGGGACTTGGAAGCATGTCGTACTTTCCGTGCCACATTCCCTGACTGGCCCTTCGCATGACTGGCCTGGGTGCACCCCTGGCAGCGGAGCCATGGGCCTTGGCGTGTGGCGGTGGAAGGGATCTCTTCATCAAGCCTTTCTTGTGCCTGTAGCCTTGCAGACTTCAAAACTATCATGACCTGACCACAAAAGGAATGAAGCCTTTGCCGCCCGGGCGGCTTCTGGCACTTCCGGCCCGGCCGAAGGCCCCTTCACCCAAACCCGCAGCTCGAGGAGAAAACGGCCGGGGAGCGGCTTGGACGAAGCAGAGGCCGGCACCGCTTGGGCTCCAGAACCCCTCCCGTTTCCTATTCGACCCTCGATTTGAAATGCCGGCATCTCTGCACAGCGACCTCCAAAGCTTTGTGGAGATCATCGAAACATGGTTCTTCAAATGTTCCAGACAAAGCAACTTCGCAGGCACAATGCAACATTGGCATTCACCTCTGTTCAGTCACAATGGCTGTGACGTGCTACGACTTCTGTCATCTAGCAATCTCGACCACCTGCTTCAGACTACTGCGCCTTGGCCCGAAATCAGAATGGCTGTGAACCGATGGGGCTGAAGGAAAGTCGACATTTACTGCAGCTTCGGGCACGCGCTGACAGACGTGGGTGGCCGTACGTCCTTGCCGTTGCGGCGCACTACAACGCGCTGAAAGTCGTTCTCCTTGGCGGGGAAAGCCACCACTGTGATCCTGCGCCCATGATCGGGTGACTTTAAACGTAACAAAGCGTAGCCTTAGCCTTTGAAGGAAATCCGAGGTCCTCGGGCTCTGATCACGGAGCTTGGAAAGCCAACTTTGGCACACCTGCAGCAGGGCACAGTGCGAATCGATGCTGACCGCGGCGATTCACGGTCAGGTCCTCGCAGGGCCAAAGTGGAGCGATGTCACCCGACGGATCAACGACCGCGATGACCTGCGTCAGAGAACTTAATTACTTCACTGACTCACGACATCCCTGCCGGCCGTGCCCATTCTGCATCTGCGTAACTCCATGCCTTGATCGTGTTGGCATGAAAGAACTCCGTCGCGGCTCGTGCAATGCCCGCTCGCTCTGCGCAGAGCGAGCCAGAGGGCAAGCTGACCTGCAGACTTGTAGAAACGGCCCAAGCAACATCTCTCTGCAACTCAGGGTTGCACCGACGCCGGCCTCCGTGTTCATACCACGCATCGCAACGAGGGAGCCATCATCTCTAGCACAGCAAACGACAGCGAGCACCACCTTTCGTCGCGACCAGTGCATCTCGAATGTGTGCAGTCGTGCAGCTAGGACCTTGTGAGATTTGCGCTGCCAGAATTTGTCGGTAGCTGCTTCTTGCCATTCAGCGACAAACCTGATCATAGGGCACGGTTAGGCCAGCTGGAACCAATGCACAAGCCGCTCCGTCATCACCGACGAAAGTTTACAGCAACATACAGCAGTCGTCGTAGTAGTAGTGGTCGTCGTGGTCGTCGTAGTTGTAGCAGCTGTCGTAGTAGTGGTCGTCGTCAGGACTTGGGTAGGAGTAAGAGTAGGAGCAGTAGTAGCAGTAGTAGTCGTCGTCGTCGTTGTCGTCGTAGCAGTAGCAGTAGCAGTAGCAGTAGCAGTAAAAGTAGCAGTAGCAGCAGCAGAAGTAGTAGTAATGGTTGAGCAGTAGTATCATTCAAGCGGTATGTAGCTTTTCCGACCGAGGTGGACACCGGTCTATAAAACCCTACACCGCCAAGCAATGCCAAAAACAAACCATAGAGCCTTATGCAGCCTTGTAAGGGGCTGGTTTACATGTGTAGCTGCCAGCTGGACACACTCGAAACCAAGGGCTCCATCGCAATCAGTCTCCGGACGACATCGGCCGCCGGGCGGGCAGCAGCAGAAAAGCGGCTTCGCAACATGGCTCTCGGACTTGATGCATGTGAAAGGTAGCCGGCCCAGCAAACAGACTCAGAAGCACACACAAAACACATCAACTTTGCTTGTATTTTGTATGGCTGTGGTGCGGGTCGTTGAGGAGGGTGAGAATTTGAGTTGGTGGGCCCCGCTCTCGAGCCTCTCCGACCGAAAGACCTACATGCAGCCTGATGAGTCGCACCGGGCCCACAACGGGGCAGATGTGCCGTTACCATGGTATCTTTCATGGTGTCTTGGCATGAGCAATCACCACACAGCCCAGTAAGTGGTCCATGATCACGAACACGGGAAATACAAGAAGAGCTGTCTCTAGTTCTTGGATCGCTGAGGTTCTGCTTTTCTACAAAAGGAGCATAACAAATGGAATGATCAAACTGCTATATGTT